CCGATGGAATCAATGTAAGTTTCTTTGTTCATTTTAATCAAAACAGGATCGGCGCCTAGTTTCTTGGCATTACATTAGGAGAAAAAATGAAACCAAAGCCACTAGACCAACTTAAGTTTGAAACAGAAATAAAACAGTCTCAGTGCTTCCCCTCCCAAACTTTGCAAGAACATCCCTCTTTATTTGTCTTCTAAGCAAACATCTACCAACTTCTAGCAATCTTCATCTAGGTTAGATCTTCTGATACTGCTAAGCCATCCGCTTTCTTAACACATCTTACACCTTTCCCCAAAAGGTATTCAAACAATGGGCAATATATTCAAGGGACCTGGAATATACTGACCTGCAAAAGCCCCTGCACATCTGAGGTTTAACAAGAATTGCCAGGCAGAGTGAGTCGGGGGAACAGCAGCTTAAAGGGGATTTATCTCTAAGGACTGCTGAAAAGGCTCCATTTAATCAGGTTATACAATACAGTTCCCCGCTGTCTAATAGTGGGGGAAGCTGAAGAAAACCAGAGCAAGTCAGAGCCCTACCTTATGGCTGGAATGGATACAGGTTAATTTCCTCTTTTTCGTCTTGAATATAGTGTCCAAGTGCTACCTTGCAGCACCTGCTCTCCTCAATGTAGGAGAGCCACTTCGTGGTGCCAGGGCTGGGAAGCAAACAATCCCTTCAGCCCTCAACAGGACCGAACTGCCCTTTCATATTCTTCCAGAAACACCCCTGGTCAATCTCTACAAATGCTGATTTCCACAACAATGTTAATCCTCTCACATGTATTTCTTCATCAGCTTGATTCCTGGAGAATTCATGGGCATTAACTCCTTCTATTGTCACCTCCCCATTTTCAGTCTCTAAAAGCATAGCACGTTATTATAACATTCCTGGAAATACCTAATTTATAATTAAGTGTAGATGATCAGTATCTTGGGCAATTACTATGATAAATAAATAGTTTGCTTTTCTGTTTTGTTTAAGGATCTGCACACAAACTGTATTAACCCATCTGTACTAAATTTTGCTTATACAGCTTTATGCTTTCTCTGAAAACTGGCATAAAAGTTTGCATCCTAGGGAATATTTTATGCCTTATCTTTATACTGCCTTATCAAGCTTTTAGTCCATCCACAATGCCAAAAGATGAGCAGCAGAACAAAGACTGAAAGTCCTTTTAACTCTCCTATCCTACTCCTAGAAGTAGGTAATGGGATTCTGCCCCTTACTATACCAATCCCTGCGTTGCACTAACACCTATGGCGAACATCATCTAGCTAATTACAGGCTTTCTTTTCTGATGCAAAAAGAAACCAGCCAGTAACCTGTGCTCCTGAGTCCCTTGGGGCACCAAAACACCACAGTGCCCCTCATACAATTACAGATGACAAAATGGCAATGTTTGCCTTTGCTTATTATTAACTTCCCTCAAAGCATACATTTTTGTAGAAAGCTATGCTTCTATCAGTTTTTGACTGGGAAGATTATTAAATGAATAGCGAAATAGACAGTATGATGATTTCCAGCTACGTCCCTGAAGTTGCTTTCTCTAGCTTTGAAATGTTGTTGCGGTCACACTTTACTGAATGGAACTGAAGCCAACGCAGAGGTACAGTGTAGATCTCAAAGAGATGTAGGTATGTAACTCATTCAGTTCAGGTGCATTTACACCACATTTTAAATGCAGGTTAGAACTCAGACTACAATTTCTGTGCCACAAAATGAACCAATGCCATTCCCTCTCCCTTCTCCTACCTCCCCGCTCTCAGCTGTGCTGCTGCTTACCTTGCTCCCAGTCTTGAGTTCTTTAGACTCTTCTGCAAACCTCTTTAAATTGTTAACCAGGCAGAAAAATAACACAGCAAAAGAACTGCATTGTGGGCAGTGAACTGATTTGGCCCAAACCCACATAAGGTAAAGAGAAGGACAGTGGGGCCAAGAACAGGGGAAAGGAGGGGAAAGTGGGGGTGAAAGCAGGGTAGGAAAAGATGAAGAAAGGCGTGAAATCTGCTCATCTTGACACCAGTGATGTATTATGTTATCCAAACTGTCTATGGAATTACATCCCCAAGCCCCAACCTAACTTGCCGAGGCCAGTCCTGAACATAGTTGACCTCCTAGGATCAGCAGAGTTATATGTCACATAAATGTACTCAAATAAGTTTGTTTATTTATTAGGTGTGTTTGCGTTCAAGGGTTGTTCTAAGCCTTTGAACCTCCCCTGACTCCCCGCTGCTGCCACAGGATTTCTTAGCCTCTCCAGTAACAGATCCCACCTCCCAGACTCGTGAGCAATTGCTCAGGCAGTGAAAGAAGAGTTGAGACTGTGCTGAAGTTTTTGTTATTTATCGTAACGTATGTATCATAATAGGTAGTTTAAAATCAGTCTGCTCATAAAGATGCAAAAGACCTTCTGGTTGCCAAAAACCCTGACAATACTAATTAAAAAACACTGTACTAGGAAATGATCCTAGGTTCTTGTTTTTCCTATTCTTTGGTGACATTAGTGTAGTTTTCTAGATTCCCCTTCTCCTTCACCACTGTTTATATAATCACGGATATTTTGAGCTCTGACAGCTAAAATGCTTAGGATATTAACAGCACTAACCAAGTATCTGTAAATTGTTTTGTAGCTGTCCACAGTGTTTTGCTGTATGCCTTTCATTTGAGTGCAGAGGATATCAGTGGATCTGGCAAGGTTGTGACTCAGGTCACTGCTATACATACAGCGTACGCCTCATCGATGCCTAGACACTATTGAGGAACTATATCATAGAGACATCTCTATGGTTTCTGACATGAAGACAACTGTCAAAAGTTCAAAGGTTTCATGATTCACTTAAGCCAAAATTAGAGTGTAATAGTAGCCTCATCTATCCCTAAACCCTCACATCTGCCGGAAGCCATAGAGCTGCTCTTCTATTTCGCTAGGTTAGTTTTCAGCCAGATCAGTGAACTGAACCACACAGTGACAAGCACTGAGTGGGGGGATGAGGGAGGGGGCAGCAATGCCCAGCTGCACGCAGAGGAAAGGCTACTCTCCTCCAGCTGTAGCAATGGGGTCCAACATCAGATTGGCCTGATCGTCACAGTGCTCCCTCTTCCACTCCCTTATGGGTGACCCATAATATTAACAATAAGTATGAACACAAAATTCACAGTCTTGTGCACAGTATGAGGTTCCCCTTTAGAGCCTACGGAAATTTGATTTTGCATTTGAAGGACTGATTACAGATGACTTTTCCTCCTGTTTTCTCAGCTGCTGCTAACATTTCCTGCTGCACCAGCTTAGCCCTGGAGATACCAGGGGATGCGAAGAGCAGATAAACTACTGACTGTCAGCCTAAAATGCTTAAAACCGATGCACAAAACTTGTTTTGAAATGTGCTTTGTGCTCTTTGCTGCTTATTTACAGTGTACACAGGAAAAGAGGCCTGCTGAGGAAATGACAATGCTGCCTGTGCTGGCTCAGGCAGTGTTTGGCCAGGTTGCTTGTCCCCAGCTCCTCCTCTGCAACCCCACAGGAAACTGGTTATTTTCTGTTGGATCAACCCCTCATCCTGTTCAGCTTGTGTCCAGCCAGGCAACTGCTCTGGCATGATGGAGCAGCTGGCTCAGGAGAAGGAATGAGCAACCACAAGCGAAAGAAAAAGAACTGAGACTGCTTGAAACAGGACAGCCTTTGAAAAAACGCCCGTAGAGCCATAACTAAGAGGCCTGCTGAAGACCTGGGAAAACTAGGTCTGTAACAACAGTGACAAAAAAGTTTTTTTTATCAAAAATCTTATTTGCTTAATTGTATCACAATGATACGGCTAGTGACAAAAAGACAAATAAAAAAGAGTAAGTGTATTTTCATTAAGGTTATTTCACCTCCCTGCAAGATCGAACTGTTCAGAGGATGACCGTCCATTCAAATTCATTAAATAAAACTTCATTCCAGCTTATTTACAATTCCAGTGAGGGCCTCCAAGAACAGCAAAGGGGATAAACATGCCAGATTTGCCAACAGCAGGGTTAGCTGCCAAACCGCTAAGACAGTTACCCTGAAGAGAGCGCTGGGAAAGGAAATGAAGTATTGGATAAGTATAAGCAGTGCAATTTGGGGAGGGAGGGGGGGAGCCTCGTAGTGCTTAAAACTACCTGTCAGGGCCCTGCGGGCGCTCCCAGCCCTTGCGACACCCTGACACAACCAAAATCCCTTGTGAGGAATATCTCCAGTGAACATCAGCCAGTACCGCAAGCTGCTCACAGCCAGTGAGTATCACAGCCAGCCGCAAGCTGAG